TTTCTGATCATAGCTCGCCTTAAGTATTTATGAACCATACAAAACGCTTAATTAGACAACTAAGGAATCCTGAAGAATTTGCAGGCAACAAACTGACAGAAATCAGAATCAAAAGTCTAAAAGACATAACAAAATACCATTCATTGCCTGCTTACAATCTTCGCATCAGAAAATAAGTCCGAAAAAATGAGTAATTTTAGGCATTGTTAAGGATGGAAGGCGTAATTTTGATTTATTACAAAAATAGACGAACTGACTTTACCTTATTTATTATTAATTCTATAAGAAGCTTTGTGTCTGTACAGAAAAAAATATGTGAAAGAGAATAAAAATCAATTTTAATGAGAAAATCTTTTGGGAATTAAGTAAAAATAAAAATAATGAAAGGAACAAGTTTTTGATGATGATTAGCTGGAAGTTTTTGATTTCGAAGGATGATTGACTCAGTTTTAATGCTTTGGAGTACAGTGGCGTAGTCAAATCGGGGTGTAGGTTGGAAATTCAATCAACAGAGTTTGGTCCAAACTAGTGAAATTCTAGTGAAATAGCTAGTCTAGTAATACCAAGAACAAACTAGCGACAAACTTGAAATATTCAAAAATATTAAAAAGCGCAAAAAAATCATAAAAATAATCAAGATTCGTAAACAGCAAAAAAATATTTCCATTAAATTAATTTTTATTGCGCTTCCAATTGCTTTTTGTTTGTAAAACGAGAATCAAGGATCTCTTTTCCATTTCTTTTTGTGTCTCCTTTTCCTTTTTGTTACATCATGTACATGATTTTTATTGCCCCTCGGGCTTCATTTTCTATTTGAGTAACGACATCTTAATGTAAAGACAGAAACGATAAACTTTTTTACATAAAAAAAAACGAAGAAGTTCTGCCTTTGTTAATTCCAGCTTTTGTACAGAATTGTTGAATGAAAGACAAAGTAATTTCCAAGCTATGCTTTTCCCCCTTTTATTCTCAGTATGAAACAGAAGGAAACAAATAAAATTAAATGAAATTAACTTTAAAACAAAGGAATTTCTCAAAAGCGTTTGGAGAGGAAGTTTATGGTTATGTAAGAATGTTTATCTAATAAAATATGAGCTAGTTATGAGCTTGAACTTTAGGAATGATTATTTGACTTGCTTGAAGTTTTGTTTTGCTTTGAAGATGCTGTCGTATAGTGAAGAATTGAAGCTTTTGTGAGATTTAAGATTTGAGAAGCTTTGAGTTAAATTGAATGGGACAAAATGAATGTAAAAGTACTTCCAAGGTCTTAACTCATATTCTCGAAAATAGAGACAAACATATTTGCAGGCTGTTGTCAAACCAATCAGAAATAGAGCTCTGATTCTAGAACTTATTCAGACAGAAGATATCAGTCTTCTCAATCTCCTTCAAAACTCAATACAGTCAAATATAAATCTACAAACATCTTCTTCTTAAATAAATGTATTTAGCACTATAAACAACAGAAAATGAAAAGCAACAAGAATAAACACAAAACAACTTTTATTTGCCAAAAAAAAAATGCAAAAACTTTTTCAATTACACGGCTTTTACTTAATTGAGATTTTCTATTTGATTTCATCTCGTTTCGCATTTCTCATTTGCTGCTAGCTAAAAGAAGTTTATCATATTTGCTGTAATGCAAGTTATTTTTGTAGCGATGTTTTTAAACAATTAAATATCAAATCTGATTTAACGATTCCTAATAAACTTATCAAATTTCAAATAAAAATTCATTTTCATCACTTTTGAACTTCAAAAGTCTAATTTAAATATCAATTTAACAATGCAAACTTCAACCAAAAAAATCACAACTCAACCAATCCCATCTCAATATGCAAATTTCTTGATAAAATGGACTTTAAACTAAGTTAAAATAGAAAAAAAAGTTGAAACAAGAATTCAATTATTCTTGGTCAGAAAATGCAGAGATCAGAAATTCATATAGAGTAAAGAGGATGAATAATGGAAATATGAAAAAAAAACTTTATCATTAAGGATTAAAATTTGCATTCGGTTTGTTACAATTGAAAATTGAAAAGTTCTCAATAAACTTTGTCTTTAGAGACCTTTTTTTAATCTTAATTACAGATCTCATCCTTAAATTATTAAAGAACGAAGAAGTGATTTTAAAAATAAGTAATTAACTTGATTTTGCTGAACATAGAAAGTCAAACGAATTTGGTTTAGAATTTCATATTTATTCGCTAATCAATGTTTAAGTATGAATGTTCGATGCTTATCTGAATATCTTAAAAATTAAAAATCTTTTGTTCCTAGCCTAAATTATGAAAATAATGTAAAACTGTTTGTTTACCAATTACAAATCCAATTCCAACTCATATTTTCATTCAAAATCATAAAAATACTTTAGTAATCTCGAAACACTACAACTCAGAGATAACACTGTGAAGGATGTGGGCTGATGACTTGTCATACAATTTTTAAAAGTCACTAAAATTAATTTGGCATATGTTTTTTAAAATTCAAGAAGATCGCACATCAAATATTAATTTTTACTCTGTAAAATTTGAATACTAAACTTAAGTTTGTTAAAATGCCAATACTAAGTGATTTACAAAGAGTTGGGAAGTTTTTGATTTGGTAAAAAACTTAAACTTAGTTTAAAAGTTTTCATTATTAATTTATAAAAATGATATTTTAGGTTGGAGCTAATATTCAGCATACTTTTCTTTTTTATATCTTACGAAACATTTGAATCTGCTAATGACTTTGGAGTTTTGTATAAAAGTTTTTCAAAAGAAGGTAAGATTATTGGGGTCCAACCTATTCAAAACTAAAACACTTTTTTTATTTTATCATATTCACTTTTGATTTACAGTCATCAAAAGTTCCGCCATTCTTGGATTTATTGGAAGCATCTTTATTTTCTTAAAGTCATTAATTGAAATAATTGGTATTGGAAGATTTATCACATTATAAAAGATTTCAATGTGAATGTCACAATCTCTTGAAAATATGACGATTATATTGATGAAATAATAATTTTAAAGTTATTCATTTAGTTTTAATGATTCAGAACAATCTGATTAATTCAGAATTTTGAATGAGTTTTTATGTCAGTAAATTTCTAGAATTTCAGCAATAAAATCAGAAAAAAATTTGTTAAAAATGTGTCAAACTACAAAGTTTTTATGTTGTGATTTAGAATCTGGATTTAATTGTTATGCTTTGTAAGATTTTTTTTGACAATTTATGCATTTTTGAATTTGAATTTTCAATTTGGATTAAATTTTATTCTTTTAGACTGAAGTTTTTATACAATGTAATTCAAATTACAGTTCAAATTGTGGCGTTTTTAGATAATTACGATGATTCACTTAAACAAAATATCTTTAAGGACTGTAAGCTATTATTAGATCTTGCTAATTAGTTGGAAAAATCAATAATTTTATTATTTGAACAGCAATTCATTTAGGTCGAATTTTATGCATTTTATCAACTGTAATTGGAATTTTTGGTTTATTTTCACTTATTGGAGGATTTGTAAAGGTGAAATCTTTTTTGAAAATTTCAGAATCAGATCTTTTTCATTAATAATAATTTTATTTTAGAGGAAAACAAGTTTCACATTATTTTATCTAATCTCTAATGTATTATCTTTTGCATTACTAACTGTCGGGACATATTTATCACAATCTATAAATAGAATCATTTGGGGAACATTTAGTGATTTATACTTAGCATATTGTTTTGTTGTAATTTTGTCATTTTATCGTAAATTACGGATTGAAAATAAACTTTAAATGAATTGAAATAAAATGTGCCAATTTATGAATCTTTAAATGATCAAAAAAATCTAATTTTCAAACTTTGTTCACGATTTCATTCAAAATTTTAAAATGATGAGGCACAGAATTGTATGATGAAATGAAAAAAAAATGTTTTTTATCTCTAAACTTTGGATCAATTTAAAATATTTAACAACAAATCTTTTCATCGCTTTAATTCCAAACAACTCAACCTTCACCATATTGCATTGATTCCAACTAAATTCAATAAACTTTTAACTTTAACATTTTTATCCAGAATTCCATTCTTTTATTTCAAGCACCAAAGCATTGAGCATTCAGCATTCCGACCTGTTTTCGACATTTATCGTCGTTTGAAGAAAGCAATAAAAATAAAAGTTTAAGTCTACACCTTTTGGAATTGAATCAAAAAAGAGAGAGAATGAGAAAATGAAAGAAAAAGGTAAAAAAGCTTCACCCCCTCAAGGCAGTCGAGCAGGCAAGTTCTTTTCATTCGATATTAGCTCTATCAGATACCATTAAATGCGATTCAATAAAAGAAGGAAAAGAATGAAAGTACTTTTGAGTGAGTCGAATTACGTATTGGGATTTGAAATTATTTTTTTTTCTCTTCAGTTCTTTTGATGAAAATCAATGCCTGGAAAAACTTTTATTCGTTTCGTTTCCTCACTCATCATTTCACATCAGCTTTTTATTCCTTACAATGCTCTTTTCTCTGCCTGACATATTGTTCACAATAATATTCCCGTGAGGATCATTTTGATATTTTTAAGAGATTTTCATTACTTTAGTTGCTCTTTAATGGCATTATTACTTCTTTTTGGGGGCATTCTTTGTAACTTTATGTTTTTGTTTTTTTTTTAAATTTTTTAATTTTTAACATTAAATAAAAATGAACTCAACGAAATTACTTCAAACCTTTATTTTTTGACTTCATTACAAGTGGAATCAGGGTAAGAGATCAGTAAATTATCTTCTTTTTTTTAAAAAAAATTAAAATTATTGAAAGTTTTCACTTCGTTCTTTTTTCCACCAGATCTTTAAAGATTTTGACCAGTTTTTTAAGCTGTTGTATTTTGACAAACACAGCACAACAAACTCAATATGATGCAAATCAGAGAAGTAAAACCAATTGAAACAAGAATTCCAATTGGTGATTTAAAGAAAAGTGTGAAAGTACATTTCAAATAAGTTTCAACGATATATGGTTGAATTTCGTATCCTAACTTGTCCTGATCATTCAGCATGTCTGGTGTAAAAAACTTGTCAGTCACATTGTTTTCTTTGAAATCTTTAATCATACATTCAGTTTTTAATGGCTCACGAGGGAATTGTTTTTGAAGAATGGCATGAATTGCTTTATAAACAACAAAATTGTCTTCTTTCGTTTCTGTCGGAGCTTTGGCGGAACAGAAAATGAAGGCAAGTGTTAATATGAGCAGTTTGCTAGAAAAACAAAAATTTAGGAAACTAAAATTAAAATAACATTTTTACTCACTTCATGTTTAGAATAATTATTTCGAGCTATTAAAACTTTTATGACTTGATTTTGTGTCTGATTTAATCTCACTGATGACTGTCAGTGAACAGTTGGTGTCAGAATATTTTAGGATTCATCGATTGAGATGAATAATCGTGTTCGTAATTGACCATATTAAAGTTAAGCAGCAAAGTATTTCTGAGAACCTTAAAAAAAACTAGTCCAAATAAAAGAAGTTAGATCTTAAAATTTCAATTCCAACTCCTGATTGTACAAAGATAGTTACCGAGATTGCAATATGTCAGTAAAATGGATTTTAAATAAAGTTATAAAAAATTTTGTTGAAAAGTATTACAACATCCATCTGCTGTTGCAGCTTATTCACCTGTTTCTTGTCTTCCATTTCCTTTCAAAAAAGAGTATTTTAAAATGAATTCATTCCTCATATCTCTTATTCTTACATTTATCCTTGTATATATCTCACAAAATGATATTTTTTCCAATTTATTCATGTCAAAGATATTCACTTCAAATACTTACACATCATCATATTGCTATGCAACGAATTTAAATTTTATATTATGCAAGTCATAACGTTTCAATATATGTGATTTTTGTGTTTAAATTGTATTATTGGAGTTTATCGGGTGTGGGAAGCTATGATTAAGTTAAAAGGGGTTAAAGGTTAAATTGCTAAAGTAAGTTTGGGACTTGGTTTTCAGGGCTGTCAAGGCATTCTACTCTTGAATAGGAAAACTTTGTATTACACTTAAAGGGATAAAAAGCCTTAGTTAAGACCCGAATCTGGCACCTGCTTTAAATTAAGAATTGGAATCGTAAGAGTCTCAGCCTGGTTAAAAACTCTTAAAAACCCATTCAGCTCTATTCAAATCTAGATCAATTTCATCTTCATTCTCGCTGACAATACTTTCAACTCATGGTATCACATAATGTGTAACAAAAACTCGCTGACTTCATCCATTTCTGAATAATTTTCACTACAAAATCGCATTAACATCCAACACGAAGATGACACTACAAGAATTTATTGCATGAAAAAAAGGAAGAATCTTTTCACAGTGCAGAATCGTCAATAATTAAAAATAATTGAAAGGAAAAGACTGCCAATAATTCCTTTACAATGTTCTTTTGAGATTAATTAAAAGAGTAGCATTTATTGTAGAAAATCTATTTCAATTGACATTTAATGATAATTAATTTTCTCCTTTTTCCTTTTAATCCATTTTCGTTTAAACTATCTAGTCTGTGTCTCGCAGTTCTCTTTTTCTACAAAAATAGCTTTATAAAGTCAATTCAGGACTTAATTTGAATTCAATTTAATTTTAATCTGATTCAGTTTTTTGATTGAATGAATATAATTGAGTAGAGAGGGAAGTGAGAGTTAAAGTCTGATGGTGGGAACATGTGGAAAGACACACATTTGCTCAGTTCAACTTAAATGTGCTCAAATTTGAATTCAATTTTGCTCAGTTTAACTTCAATTTGCTCAGTTTCGCTTAAAATTGCTCAAATTTGATCTAATTTGCTCAGTTTTGCTTAAAATTTGCTCAATTTTGCTCAGTTTAGCTTTAATTTGCTCAGTTTAGCTTTAATTTGCTCAGTTTAGCTTTAATTTGCTCAGTCTTGCTCAATTTTTCTCAGGTTTGCTCAAATTCATAATTTATTCTCCATATTGGCTGTTTCCATTCCAAGCTCAGCAAAAATGAGGAAACAAAAGAAAGGCAAAAATAAAAGATATCGAGACGACACAAAAAAGAAGCAGAAAATATGATTTTTTTAAATTAAAGAGCAGTGAAAAAGTCCATTGAAGTAGAAAATTCAATTTTCATTTAATTACATTTTTCCCTTGTTCGTTTTTGTTTCAAAGTTTTATTTGATGTGCTTCTATTGTTCAATAGAATTAACTTTCCATTCTTTTTGGCTGTTCTTTATTGGATGCTTGCGATGTAAAATTAAAGATTGAATTTTCTTTATAAAGTTTAAAATTGATTAATAAGAAGTAAAATAAGTTAAAAATCACATTAAATTTCAATTTAAAATCAACCCTAATTTTCTATAAAAAGATCCTTTTGATGCTGGCGTAAAAAAGACATTTTTAATTAAATATTTGCTCCCAGCAAATAACAAAATGTATATGAAAATGTCCAGGTAAGATGAAATTGAGTGAAACAATGCAAAAGAAGAAGAAGAAAAGTTTCCAAATTGCTTTCAGCTCAGTGATTTGAAAATTGATTTTGAGGCACGTTTCCTTCCCTCTTCTTGATGAAATGGAAGTTGAATAACCACATTCAATTTTACTCCTTTTCATTTATGACTTTATGTGCTGAAAGCGAAACATTCGCGATGATTTGTGCTTGAAGTTTTCATTTTTTTTTTGTTGCTATGGGAATTTTTTGTGGGCTTGTAAGGCGGATTTTTGCGAGCATCTGAGGCTGTACAACAGCTAAACATGTGTTTCAACCAAGCATGAACTAAACAACAGTTTTATACTTGCAAATGCGTCTTTCAACAAGTGCTGTGTGCCTACTGAATGCCAGATTTATTGTTTAGTTTCGCCGTTGGCGGAACAAACAACTTTTGACATTTGAAGCCTAGCAAAAAAATGTGTGTTCGTTTACATGTTTTCATAAAAAAAACACCTGAACTGCAGCTTTTTCCATCCTACTTATGCATAATTTTAAGAGAGAGGCAATGGTTCCATTGGATCCTCAACTGTTAATACCAAAAGCTGCCAAAAAACACTTCGACGACATTTCGAGTAAATATTAAAATCAGCAATAAAGGACACGAAAATAGCCATTTTCAAATCTTCTACCTACTTCCAAATCTTCATTGCTAATAAAGTCAATACCAAGGCATCCTTAAATCTATATGAAGGTCAATATAAATGAAATAAGATAGATATTTTACAACAAACAAAATCTCCATCATAAAAAGCTTTTAATATCAGTCAAAAGCTCAAAGCTGCTACCGAAATTCCACAGCATCAAAATAGATTCAGCCTCAAGCAATATGCGTATTTGATGATTCTAAAATTGTCACAAATAACATTCAAAATGACAAAAAGAAATCTATTTTCAGTATCAAGATGTCCAACAACATCACAATAAAAATCAATTCCAAAATAACCATAACAACAATTTTCTCGATGTAATGCCATTGCTGCTTAGTCAGTTGAAATTGTCGAGCCACAGTTGAACAGAAAAGGAAAATTCCATCGTCATTAAAGATCCTTTACAGTTCATTTAATGAAAATTGTTTCAGGAAGGGGAAAAAAGCAGCCAGAAATGTGAAATTTTCTCACTTTTAGAAGTTCACTCAATTGGCAATAATTGCTTAAAATGCTTTTTAATTGCAAAATAATTTTTTTCCATTTTCTTCTTTTCGCTGCCTGACGAAGCAGCCTTAATGATTGTGTTGGTGTAAATTGTCGGTGATATTTCTTTATTATAGGACTGCTTCCGTCTCAACCTACACGTGTACAACGGATGCTGGAGAAAGTTTATAACTTGATTAAGGACGAAAGGATGGAGTTAAAGGAATAAAAAATAAATAGTTATATAAATTGAGAGCTTGTGTTCAGCATGTATGTTTCTTTCGGACGAATATTGATGATTGGAAATTTTAAAGAATGTGAAAAATGATTTCGATTTTCCTTTAAAAATAACATGATAAATTTTCTTAGTTTTAATAGTCAGTCTGTTGGGTTGTTGATATTGTTCCATTTTTATTTGACTAGATACATTTAAGATTGGATGACAACAGAGTTTGAAAATGACTTGCTGTTGTTCATCTATACTTTGTCGCGATCTATAGAACACTTGAGGTAATTATCTCAGCATGAGGAAGATTCCATGCTTCAATTGGCTTCCCATTCTTAGAAAATCAGGTGCAAATGGACATGACTTGAAGGTTGATCCTCGTTTTTAGATTTGTGATGCTTGTAGCTTTCTCCATGACATCTTTTATTGAATTGATAGTTTTAAGTTTGATTTTAAATGAATCGTCGCTTTAAACTTAATTTAAGGCAAAGGATTGCTCCAGATTCGTCTCAAATTGCTAAGCTTATGCATACTGATGTCTCCTTAAACAGTCTTAATTAATGCTAAGTCCTCTTATTAAGCAATAAAGTCGTTTCAAATCCCAACATACTTAAACCTTTTCTCACTTCAACTTCCACTTCCCCAGAATCTGTTTCTCTGTTTTTTCTACATCCAGAAAAGCATGAAATAAATTTTTATATGTGTATAATGGATCATCAAGACATCGATAGATAGATTCATCTGTTCAAACAGTGAGTAAATAAATTAAAATGTCATTCCTGACATCAACATCCATCTGTGTTTATTTTTCCATCCTCATTCTATTGCCTTCGTTTTGTAAAGAATTTCATAATCTTTTCCTGAAAGACGATCGGAATGGATATTCAGTCTATACTATTCTTTTCTATTCTATTCTGTATAGGGGATATTGCAAAGCAACTATGTGTGACCATTTTTTATTGAGCTTTAATCGTAAAGGGTTATGTGTACTTGAGAGTCTATTGAGAGTGCTCTAAATCTATTCAGCTACACTATACACATAAAATGGTAAGCTTTTGTAAAAACATCTTTATTATCCCGGGTGTCCATTACATGAATGGGACTCTTCTCCTTTTTTTTGTGCTGTTCTGTCTCATGAAACTTTTTATATTGTTATTGAATGAAGTGCCTTGTCGATGATGCTTTTACTGTCTGTCTGATGTGATTTTAATTTTTATTGGTGGATATGAGTGGAACTTGGGGAATTTTTAAGAAGGTGATTTGTGTTGATGGGCTTTATTTTGATGTGTATTGATACTCGAGCGATTTAAAGGATCAATATGGAATTCTACATGAATTTTGTTCTGCACTTGTCAACAGACACACAATGTCGTATCGTGGATCATAATTTTTGCAGCATTGGTCTCATTTCTGAGGCTGAGATGCTTAAATGGACAGAACATGCGATTGTAGGTTTTATT